GGAAGGAGAAATGGCGGGTGAGACGGGGAGGACTGCAGACGCGGGGAACAGCCTAGGTAACAAAGGGAAGGACCAGGAAGGAGGGGAAGAGGAGGAAGCAGGGCCTGGGGAGCAGGGAGTCGAAGATGGTTGGCTAGATACCCCTAAAACTGAGGCAGAAATTCAAGGTGGGCGGGGGGAGCGGATTGGGGAGAACTGGACGGAAGAAGAGAGGCAACGGAAGCAGGAGGAAAAGAAGGGGGAAGAACAAGAAGAGAGAAGCAAGGTGGGGGAGAGGGAGCTGAACTTGGAAACACAGGAAAGGTTGCAGAGCTCAGAGGGAGAAGAGGACGAGGGAGATGGATATTGACCAAGGGACTATGCAAGCAAGCTCGGGCGAGTCAGAAACACTGCGAGTGCAGAGTAGACCGGTATATGAGATACCGATAATAGCACAGCGTGACAAGAGGGGGCGGCCGCTGACAGGAAACAGGCACAGGCGCAGAACGAAGCAGGCAACCGCAGGACCACCTAAGAGCTCCTCCTCCGTGGAGTGTTTTTCGGCTCCAACCTACTCGTCGGCAACGGCAGAGTCAACACGCAGGCGGCGTGCCTACCAGCAGGAGCCGGACTGGCAAACACAGTCAGATCGTACACGGGACAGGCCAAAGGGAGTACAGGAAAGAGAGCAGTCTCTGCTGGGAGGCAAGGACCTAAGGCCGCGGTACTGGTTGAGGGGTTAAGTGGGAAGGGACATGTCGTCATCGCCATCGGCTTCCATACCCCCCAGGGCCCCAACTATGGCCTTCCGGTGGAAGGGGTGGGGACCGACGCGAGCAGTAAATTGAAATCGTCAGAGTCCTCAAAGTCAGAGGCATCGGACAGCTTGATAGGAGAGCAGCCGGCACAGCTTAGCACGGAAGAGCAAGAGAAGGAAGTATTAGAAGCGGGAGGGCAACAGTCGAAGCAGGAATAGACGGCCCAAATGTCAGAAGAGCAGTCGGCGCAGCGTAGCATGGAGGGGCGAGGGAAGGAAATATCAGAAGCGGGAGGGCAACAGTCGGAGCAGGAACAGACAACCCAAATGTGGGAAGGAACAGCCTCGACACGTGAGACAGCACAGGAGGGTGTAGCTGGGGTGGGGGACTGTTACATGCTGCACCTGCAACAGGCTGCACGGGCCATTTCCAGGCCCGTGACGTTTTCAGGCCAAAAGCCTGAAAACAAGGGCCTACAGGCCCTATGTCGTTTCAGCCGGAAAGCCTGAAAACAAGGGCCTACAGGCCCTGTGTCGTTTCAGGCTAAATCAGGGCCTTTCCCGCCCTGAGTGTTTTCAGCCTGAAACTGAGGGCCATTTCCGGGCCCTCATCAGTTCGACCTGCCCTGAAACTCAGGCAACAAACCAGGGTTTTAGCACAGGCCATTTCGGGCCTGTTTTCAAGACAACCCCTGGTTGAGCTTCAATGCCAGGGTGTGGCACGTTTCGGCATTGGCAAGGGCAGCCTTCTGGACGGGCCAGCACTATATAGGACTGGCCCGCCCTGAAGGCAGGCAGGCAGTTCCTAGGTACTTCCCAGGCACTTCACGTGCAGTTCAGGAGGCAGGAGGTAGTCTTCAGGATTCGGCAGCAGCACTCTGGAGGAGCGCTGCAGTAGTAGCAGCAGCGTTACCAGTAGTCTTCATCGCTGGCCGCTAGAAGCGTTAGCTGTAGTCTTCAGCGCTGGGCGCCATAGCAGTTAGAGTAGTACTAGAGAGAGAGAGATTGGGCGGAGGCCAGAGGGAATTACCTACAGCGCCATTGCTCCAGCTTCGTCTTCGAGGTACCTGCAGCACAGCGCCATCTTCACAGGTTAGTACCTGGCATATGAGAGAGAGAGAGTTCTTCTTCTTCCTCTTCTTAGTCCACCACCTCCTTCTCACCCTCTCGCTGTCTGACTTCACTGCATCAGCAGACT